AGGAAGGTAAACTGTTCTAGAATTCAGGTTAGGCAGCTCACCCCACAGAAAAGCCAGTGCCTGGGAGATGAATGTTAGGGAGAAAGAAAAAAGACTTTATGGAGGATGCTGGTAATTTGCAAAGAGTATCTCCCATATTACTGTCCCAGCCTTTGGGGATGTAGGAGTGTTTATATGAGGAGGAGATGCGGGTGTCCGGCAGAAAGAGGTATTTCCCAGGAGCTGGAGTCAGTCTTTACTCACTGGGTGTGGAGAACATCTTTTTTTTTTTTTTTTTTTTGTCTTTTTCATTTTTATCGGTACCAGGGATCGAACTCACTTGTGATCATTGTTATACCTTGAGAAGAGGAAATTTCTCTTTTGGATCAATTCTTATAGTCAGCAGCAGGTAGCTGACATCAGCTCAGAAAGATAAGCAAGTTCACAGGAATTCAAAATAAAGACTATTATCTGCAAACGAGAAAGATAACTGGGAGAGAGCAAGACCTTTAGCCTGGGAACCTTTGTAACCTGTTAGGCAGCGTCAATCAGAAGTGTCACCTATAGGAAAATTAGTTGGAGATTGATAATATATTGTTCAGCTGTTGAGCCTCCATAAGCAGTGACTTTTAAAATTAAAAGTGAAGCTAGAAGATTTATTTAGGTTTTCCCCTCAATTGCAAAACAATAGTGCAGTTAAGCAAGAGAATACTATTTAGGCATTAAGAATCATAGTGATGGGGCTGGGGATTTAGCTCAGTGGCATAAGCACCTGCCTTGCAAGCAGGCAGTCGTGAGTTCGATCCCTGGTACCGATAAAAATGAAAAAGACCAAAAAAAAAAAAAGAATCATAGTGATGAAGATGATATGGTGATTTAGAAAAATGCTCAAGGTCTAACTTTTAGCAGAGAGGGCAAGATACAAAGCAGTATTAATATAATTTCAGTGTTCTAAGAAAAAATAGAAAAGGGCACGTGAGAGACAGGACAAGCGTGATCCCATGGAAAGTAAGTTTAAATGAGAAACGCGAGACTCTTAATATTTCCCATCAGAGGCACATAAGTGTTCAAATGATTTCCATGGGAAGAAGGACGAGGTCCCCAGAAAGCAATTTGAGAGAAAAAAGAACTATGGCTAGAAACAATATATTTAGGTCACTCTAGAGCTCAGGCCCTCATCGAGGGAGAGCTTTCTCAGAGAGGGTTCGAGGTACCCAAAGGGCACAGAGGATGCTCTGTAGACACCTGAAAGACATTCCATGGCTTCCCAGAAGCCTGAGAAGTCTGCAGGGAAACAGCTCCAGGCCAGTGCAGTAGGCATAGAAATGCTGGGTTGACCCTTTTTCCCTGCAGCTGCAGTCTCCAGTGTCTAGAATGTCCCAGTCTGTGTGTGAATGTCTAGGAAAAAAAGACAAAACCAGTAGCTGTTATTTTTAAATCACCCCTGAATTCTGTATATTGCTTGTGCCTACCTGCGCCCCTCCTGCCCACCCGCCACCCACTCATTCCAGATTCTCACGTGCATTTGGCTGTGCATGTGAATGGAAACCCTGGCTTTTGAGAAGGTCCTGTCATCTAGGGCACAACAAGAAACTGGGGTGCCGCAGGCCTGTGGGTGGTTCATGTCCACCCAGAGTGCTGTCCATAGTCAGAAAACTCTGGCTGGCTGGGACTCAGGCCCTTCATGCCTTTATATACCAACAGAAATCACCTAACTCTGACAACTTTGCCTCTGCCACCCCAAGATTGCATGCACCACATGTAATCTGTGAGATGACCCATTTCACAACACGGCAAGGTCCCAATATACTATTTACCCTGCCACGAGAGGGCATTTTGTTGCATTTTACACAAGCATTTAATTTAATCCTTTAAATTAACATGGGTTTGTTTTCTTATAAAGGAAGAGAATGAGGCTTATCAAAATTTCCCAGCCTGACAGCAGTTTACTGTGGGGTGCCCTGGAGGATTAGTGTGGGAAAGAGTAATCAAGGGAACTTCTAGGTGTCGGTGATGCTCTCTGTGTCTTAGCCTGGGTGCTGGTATTATAGATTTTATTTTGGGAAAATTTATCAAGCTTTCACTAGGATTAATATTCTCATACAATGCTCCTTGCCTGGGTCCATGAGCTGCACACTTCTGCTGTCTGGCTCCGCTATATCCTGCCCTTCCCTGGGAAGCTTTTCATGTACCCCTTCCCTCAATCAACTGAGGTAAGGTTTCCTTGTGTTAGGGTCTCCCTGAACCAGCCGGCCCTGAGCCCAATGAGACTATCGGGAAGTTTTGTGGCCATTCATTGTTTGCGCCTGTCTCTAGTCACTCTAAGCAACAGGTATGCTGTGTCCACCAGAGTCACTGCCCAGAGTTTGAGCCCTGGTATGAGTGCCTCATACCAAGAAGCTGTTTATAAAGCAACAAGGAGGGGAGTAGAAAAATAGAATGGTATTCAAGAAGGAAAGGAGGAAGAAGAGGAGAAGGGGAGGAAGAGCTTTGCCTCTGAAGTTCTGGGTATTCCGAGGCCTAGCTAGAGACAGGGGCAGGGAGGACCCAAGGCTGCATTTTCTTGAGTGAGTAGAGTCTCCTGAAAAAGTCTTTCCTCAGGAAGGTAGGTGGTTTCAAGGAGTGGCCTGTGTTGCTAGAGGACAGTGGGGACGCTGAACCTAGTCTGTCTCCAATTCTCTTCTAGCCTAGAGGAGGGTACAAGGAAGAGCTATCTGTCTGTCACTTTCATAGACACAGAGACCAAGACGTCAGCTGCATCTGGAGGGATGGCCTGACTCTGCAGAGGAAAGGTAGATATGCCAGGGCACTGAGGTAATTAATGGTTGGTACTCAGCAGGGAGCTAGGGTCCTCAGTTTGTAAACATCCTCATCTGTGCAAGAGGAGGGCGGGGGAGCAATGTGAGTGCTATTCCCCACTGGGGAAGGGGGTGGCCTGCTTACAGTATAAAAGAGAAGAGTCTTGTTCTCCTCCTTTTGCTCTTATTGCTTTGTTGTCTTTTGCCTCCTTAAAGTGTTGTCCCTATGCCATGCCACTCTGTCTTGGAGCCAGTTGATTATGGACTGAAACCTCCACAAACTGTGAGCTAAATAAACCTTTCCTTCCATAGCTTGGGTTGTCAGGTATTTTGTTTCGGCAATAAGAGAAAAGCAACTAAGACCAATGATGATTGTTTTCTCATCCAGGATCAGCACTTGAGGAACAATCTGGCTGGGCTGGCCATACCCTCTCTGCACATTGGTTAGATGTGGGAAGTGATGGTGGAAGCCTCCTGTGCAGGGAAGGGGACTGAGTCCCTGTGAGAAGGGGCAGCCATGATGAGTCCAGGGCAGGAACCAAAGGACCCTGCATCTCAGAGCAGCTCATAAAGTGATGTTCATGTTCTGGTTCCTTCCAAGCAGAAGTCCAACTGAGAATATACTGCTGGGTGTCTCCTGAGTTACAGCCAGGCAGGTGTCTTCTGGAAAACCCAAGTCACTGATAGATTTTAAAGACCACATGCAAATGGAGAGAAAGACACTAAAGAGCCAAAGAAGCCAAAATCCAAATAACCTCTTGGACTTGCAAACAGATCTTCCTCATAATGCACTGATTTGGGCCACTATCACAGTACAACTATTCCCCAGTGACCTGTCTTTTGGCACCAAACACTCCATCAAGAGACATTCATTTCTCTTTGAACTCAATACTCCCTGAGACGACTCTAGGGACAATGGCTCCTGCTCTTGGGGAAAAATATTCTGTGATGTGACAGAAGAAAACACCATCATCAGTATGCCAGAAAACTTTCAGTTATTTCCCTTGAGGTGTCATCTTAATATAGACCTGTGTAGGTGGGGCTTTATAAAGCATTTTCTCACCATTTTTTCCCTGAAATGATGGCTTTCAAACATTTGTGATGATATACCATCTTAGTAAAATTTTTCTGAATGGTACCATTTTCATTAATCCTATTTATATAATCATGTGTGCACTGTTCAGTGTGTTTTTATAGTGAAAGTTCTAATAAAATGTGGCCCAACTTATGCCATTAAGCATATATCAGGCAGAGGGCAAGCATCATAGGCCCTCTTTTCAGATAAGTAACACTCAGAAAAGAAAGGACTTGCCTAGGTCAAAAAGCCAGAATTTATAGAACCAGAATTAAGACTCACTTCTAATCAAATCAGTGCCCCCATCCCACCCACTGTGCTGTCTCCCAGGGTGATTTGAGCCACATCTCACGGGTGCTTGGATTCTTCTTCCCAACTCCCACCTCTTCTCACCCATCCCAGTTTGGATTTGGAACATTCATAGAGTTTATGACAATTTGACAATTTTCCCATTTTTCCTGCCTTATCGGTTGCATCATTACCTCCTTCAATGGAGGGTAAACCATATTATCAGGGTTCGAGATTCAGGAATCATGAGCTTTGCCTGTGTTAGCTGTTTACCCCAACCCCTTAAACAGGAATGATGCCAAAACCATTCCAGGTCTCACCCTGCCTGATGTTAATCCATTCTGAGATTTATCTATAAAAAGAAGACTTTAATTCTAAAGTAGAGAAAGCGTGGGACAGGATTTTCCTTGAGTGACCATGCTGGATGGGGAAGACATATGCTTTTCTCATGAAGAAAACTTGCTTCCTTGAATATTCTCTCGGCACTTCCTTTGTGTTTCTAGAAAGGTTTTGTACAAACACAAAACCCCTGAAGCAGAATAAAGATGAGGACACGGGCATATTTGGAAGCAAGCAAAACCACAACCAAGACAGCTTAGCTGTCCGGAGCTAGGGTTGTTTAGGAGAGACTTGGGGCCAGGTAGGGGTCGTGTGGGATGGAGAAGCTGGGGGATCTTACTGTTAAAATCCAGAACCCTTTCATATTCTTATATTCTCATATTCCCTTCCTCTTTCTCCTCCTCTCTCTCTCCTGCCAGGGCTAAACACCCGAGTCACTGTTTAGCTAAGGTGGAGCCAGGGCACCTGGTGTGCCCATATAAGAAAGAGCCCATGAGGTGGCAGTCAGCCGCTGTTGGCACTGTGCTTGTGTCACAGTTGCTCCAAAGAGCCTGTACTGCCCTCTGCCCTCCCCTCTGTCACTTTGTATCCCGCAGACTCTTGTTGCTGAACCTGTGGGACCAGTCCAGCCCCCCTCATCCTGCTGCATGAGTACTGCTGAGCACCGCTCCATCAGACGTACCTGTGCAGGACACAGGTAAGGTGTGAGTGCAAGTCTCTTTGGGCTCTGGAGTGAGCCAGTCTCCCAAATGAGTGACCTTCAGAATTTTCCAGGGAGTTGCTTCAGATGCACCCCCACAGGTATGATTTGGTGTAGCTCCGTAAACTGGATATTTCTGATTCAAGTGTTCCAAAAAGATGCTTTAGGAAGAACAAGGGCAAAAGATAATTTTGACTTTCTAAGAGAAGCTGATCAGAATTTTGTACAGTTCATGCAAAGAAAGGGTTTCTCAATCCTGAGTCACCTTTTCTTTCTGCTCAAAGTTGCAACCTTGAGAGCACCATTGACCACGAGACATCCCCTCCTAGCAGATGTTGTGTCTTCTGTGATCACTGATGCCTAGGGTTGGATGCATGGTAAGTATTTTTAAAATATTGCTAAAAGGAAGAAATGGACCCAGGCCTTCTGTTTTCTAACAGTCTAGTATACCAATTACATACAGGAGTGAAGGTGAAATATCTGGCCTGATCACAAAAGCCAGATCACCATCACTTCCAAAACGCAGGTGGTTCCCACACCTCCGTAGCTGTACCGCTATCTTGTACTGCACTGCACATGGCTCTGTACCTGCTAAGTTGTATCATCTCTGAGATGCGGTGATGTTCTCTGGGAAGCAGTTCTAACCATTTAGTTTGAAACCAAGCTAACTAGATTAAAACAAGGGCAAGCGTTTTCCCTTTGTGGTTATGGTGGAGTTACTGTCCTGAGTCACAAGCAGAACTTTGCTTCTGCCCAGCAGACACTAACTGGCATTCCCTCTGGAACTGCCCCTCCCGTACTCAACTTGACATTCTTGCTTGTGGAGGGAGGGAGAGCGTGTGAGGGTGGGAGGCTGTGCATTGATCAGTACCTCGACTGATGAGAATATAATGACCTACCAATTGTGTAATGGTTAGCGGTGATACGTGGCATGACCTCTCCTAATTTGTACCTGGGAAGAGTGACTTACTGTTAAGCTTATGCCATTTATGTATGTGACTGAGCTGGAATTCTCCTGTAGCTTTTTCCCCTCCCCGTTACTGGTTATATTCAGTGGCCCACTTGGAAGAGCACCTTAGAAGGAAAAGCATTATTGGGAAATATATAAATGAATGATACACATAGTGACATGGAGGGTGTGCTCTGTTGGATCTCAGTATAAATTAGCTGTGTGACTTTGAGCATGGTATTTTATCTCACTGGGTCCCTATTTTATCATCAAAATGCAGTACACCAAAATCAGCCTCCTAAGATTGCATGAGTTAAATGATGTTTATGTGTGCAGTAGTGGCTAGTACTCGGTAAACGCTGAAATTTTAGTTATTATTATTATTACTTTGGACTGAGTTCACCGTAAAAGGCAGCCAGAGACCAAGTGGCAGTGCTACCGCACAGACCTGTTGGGAGATACAATCCCGGAGCACAGAGAGGGAGGGGAGTGGGAAATAAACAGAGGAGGATGGGAAGTGACACAGGCACCCCCTGGCCTCCCTTCACAGAGACGTAGGTGGCCGCTTGACCAAAGCAGTACGTCTCTGGCTCTCCAGAAACACCGTGTCTTAGCGTGGCCCATCAGACAGAGTGGACAAACAGTGCACAAGTCGGTTTCTCCTGCCTCTTCTCCCTCCTTATTCCCACATTGGTGCGCCTGTGCCCTTTGGTCCCCTTGGCACCTGCAACCCAGGCCCTGTTCCTTGAGGCTGGGCACCTTCTCTGAGTCCAGGGGCAGAGCCACTTTCGCAACTAGGATAGAAAGAAGACCAAGTGTCTAAAAGAGGCTGGAAGAACCCAAGACAGTTCCGTTGCTATGTTCAGTAAAGCTGGAGTTACCATTATTAGTGTTTTCTGGACACTGCAAAAGGCACTCGTGTTTCCTGTTGACACCTCTCCCCCTCCATGAGCAAACCATGAAGTTTCCTCAGGTAGGCTGTTCCAGCCTGTCATTGCTCAGGGCTCTGGAAGCCTGAACTTGCCCTAAGCTCTCAAGCTTTGTGCAGTGGCACATGCCACTGATAGTACAGAAGCCCAAGGCTGTGCAGAATCCAGGGAAAATACTGGTCCCAACAACCCTTGGGACTCTGCCTCTTAAACAGTGTTTCCCCAAAAACCATGCATAGAATAAGAGTTCTGAGGGCTGCTGCTGAGGACTCCTTGGTGGAAGGCTTCTATGATGAACCTTTGGATCACTGTGGCCTCCTGACTCTCTCCTTCTCAGATTGTGATGACTCAGATTTGCATATAAAGGCTCTTAGAAAACCAAAGCAGTGGCACTGGTCTAGCTGAGTGCATCTACTGCCCCCCACGCTGACTCACTAGGAAGCACTCTTGGTCCTACGGAGACCTGGTTTCCGCTCATGATTCCTGAGACCCCAGGGACTCTACTATGGACTTCCTTTTCACTTTGCATAAATATTTTTTGAATAAAAATATAAATGAGAAGATTTTTCAGCAGTTTTTCAGTGGAAAATTCACCCATTGCCAAAGCTGATTCTCCGGGAAAATCCGGGAAAGCTCAGCCAACTGTCTGATCTTAGTGACCAAGACAGTTGGACATGGGATCCTGAGGGGGACCCTGTACTCTTTGATGCTCATGTTGAAAGGGAGCTGAAGGTCATTTTCTCAAGACTCTGCATTGCCACAGAGACAGTCTCTTTGCTGTCATTTGTTTATGGCTGCATCTGATTTGGAAAGACATAATAGAGGGATATGGACCAAAGGTTTGCTCCATCGCTGCTTCCTCTGGGGAGCTGTGTGTGAGATGAGAGGGGCATAGCGTAGGTAACAGAACAGGACATAACACATATCCCACTGACACACGTGTATTGATTACATATACCCCACTAGACATTACAATATACATCTGTGCATTCTGCTTTCGCAAATTCAACCAATCATGGGTCAAAAATATTGGAAAACAGTTTCTGTACTGAACACAAACAAAATTTTTTGTCATTATCCCCTAAACAATATAGTATAACAATTTTTTGTACTGAATTCACATTGCGTTAGACATTATAAGTAATCTAGAAATGATTTAAAATACACAGGAGGATATACATAATTATATACATAAATTAGTAACAAATATATTGATATGCATATTGATTATGCCATTGTGTATTGTCGTATGCATTTGTCCCACCATACCTACATTATCACATGAGATAGGACTGAAATATCTGGCAAATGTTTAAATTTTTAATTTATTACATAAAAGACGTATTTCCATCGGTCCCTCTCAACATACTCTCCCTCATTTCCAACACACTTGTCCTGTCATCCTTGCCACTTTCTGAAGCATTTCTGGACGTCCTCTTTCGCGAGTATCTTTGCAAGTTATGTCTGCAATATGGTGACTGCTGCTGTCTAGTGTCACCCAAGAGAAGGACCTGGTAAAAACATGACAGTGTGTCCCCATCCACCTTATTTGCTGGATTTGCCACCATATGTCTTTTGACTCTTCCTTGAAGACAGAATGACCACAAAAGGTAAATATTTTGCACTGATTCAGAAAACTCCAAGACAATGCAACTAAAGATAATCAATAGAAGAAGACTTCTAGAACTACCTTGCAAAGTGATAAGAAAAAGGAGGTAAGTGTGTTCGCAGAAAGGGAGCGATTAATGGCAATGTTTTTTACTGGAATAAATTATTTAAATTTTACATATTCTCATTTCTTTAATCATACCTTTTGAAGAGGGACTAAACATGCTTGTAGCTGGGTATTCACAGAGAACTTGGAGCCCTGTGAACCCCATGGATACTGAGGGACTAAACATGCTTGTAGCTGGGTATTCACAGAGAACTTGGAGCCCTGTGAACCCCATGGATACTGAGGGGTGCTATGACTGATGTAGCGGTCTGGTGATGGGCTGCCTCTAAGCCTTTTTGCTGGGAGACAGTAGTGCTTTGGGGTTAACACCTTTACTCTGCCGTATAGTCCCCAGGGTGCCTTTGCTTTCCCTCTTTCCTTTTGGCAGTACTCTGTCCTCTGACCACACCCACCTCCCAGCCCTGAAGAAGGGGCCCAACCTGGGTGTCCCACCATGCAGGGAGGACCAGCCACCCTATCATACCGGTGGGCTAGAGCCACTGTCCTGAAGGCTCCATCTGGATCCAGTGGACTCTCGGGGCTTGAGGAAGCAGAGCCATAAGGTCCTAAGCCACAGGGACACACGCCCTGGGTGCCTTAGTGGAACACTGTCTTCTCCCTAGTCTACACATTCATCAGTAGCAGCTGAAAACCAGCTGAACTACATCATTTAGCCCCTTCTCAAAAAGCACCAGCTTCTTTTCAGGCATCAAAGCTAAGAAACCTTCAGGAGCCACCACTTAGAGGAGGAGCCAGAGCAGAGGCTTTCTGAATGAGCTGTTCCAGGGACCCTAGTGGCTTGGCACATGCCATCAACTCGGGGCTATCCTGATCCAGTGCCACCTTTTCCTTACCTAACCCTAACTCTAGCCCTAACCTGAATCCTACCCCTAACCTTCTGTGATGGCAGGATGCTCACATACAGGCTGTATGCTCAGTTGACTGGGCCAGAGAACCAACTGCTGGCTCCACAGTGGTTTCCTCTCCTCTGTGTGGTACCCTAAGCATCTCTGGGGTAGGGATCACTTAAGAGTTCCACCTGGGATGCACAGCAGTTGGGTTTTCCTGCTGCGGTTTAGGTATTCACATCTGTGAGATAAAGAGGCAAGTGACAGTGACACCCTAGGGTGGCAGAATGGCATGCAAATGCCTTCCCTGATGGCTCTTACCCTCCCTTCACCGTGGTCTCCCATGCCACCTCCTTGTCTTCACAGTCCCCTCCTCTCAATGGCTAGACCTAGCTTCCTTCCTCTCCCGGGACTCTGCTGAGTCCTCCAGCCTCTTTCTCTGTGTGGTCCCTTTGCCACTGACTGCCTCATCCCTTTTGTTTCTCTTTGTCTCACTTTAATGAGAAACTAAAATAGGCCAAAAGAACAGTCCTTTAGGAATAAATGGAATATTTGAA